AATCAAGAACTAGGACTATCCGCTTAATGCGCCCGCCGCTTATTAAGCCCAATTTGGTCTGGGCCGTAACAGCCCTGGTTTCCTTGAGTCTGTCTTGATACCCAGTGAAGGCGGGTGAGGGTAAATAGCGCGGTAGTACCCGCGCAAAGTCTGCTGTCACTTGACACTAAGGTAGGCGGTGTTTTGGCCTGCACTGGAGTAAGCGGCCTACGCCCGAGGCCGTTCAGTCCTCTTGACTTTGTCTTGTCACCGGGTCAAACGGGTAAAGGTTTAGAGTGAGGTAGATAGTTGCGCGTCGATTTCACTCAAAGCTCATCTCTGTCTCCAGGCGCCATCCCTGTTCTTGGGCCTATGGTGGACATCATCAAAATCGATGGTCGAACTATCATCATCAGTAGTTATGGTAGTAATAGCAGTAGTCGTCGTAGTGATAGTAGTAAGGCGTACACACGAAACATTTAGCTGTATCTTTGGTTGGCAGAACCGGCATACGTTTTCAGATTTTTTTGGGGTTTCCGCGTGTCTAAAATCCCATCTATAGCAAAGAGCCTCTTTTTTCAGACCTTAAGAACGAATATCTCACTAACAGTAATAGGCCTGGAAGAGGCTACACCGAGTAAGTTGATGATCTAAAGACTGTCGAACAGGCCACTTATTCTCTTTTTCGGCATAAACTGGAGAAACCAAGGGCAAGTACTATTAATTTTTCATCAAAAAGAGCACCAGCGTCTGTAAGAATCCGGCAACAAAATGCACGTTCGTAGTCTGCCAAACAGCCCATTCTACGACCAATAAAAATATTATAAACCAACACGATGCTCTTTTCAACCATGAAATGAAATTCCCAGCACATAGACTGAACTTTTGGATACTTAAAATATGTAAAAGAACTTTGTTGGTCCGCTGTTTGTGGAAGAAGGGTTTAAATAGCTCATGACACCTCACGAAACTTCCCCCCCGCCAGCACTGGACAGTGAGCCGAGGTGAAGTACAGAGGCGCGACTACGGGTTGGCGTCTACCAACACTAGCGGTAAAAAATAAAATACTGTCAAGGGGGGAGGGACACAGGAACGGAATAACATTTGTTACCATCTTCCCCTCCCCCTTCACGCGCTCGCTGACCGCGGTCAGATCGGTTTCGTGGAGTGGGCACCAAGAGAGTACGTCTCCATGCTGCCAAAACACCTGTCTGAGCAGGCCCTGGAGACTGCGAAAAGGGGGAGGGTAGGATAGGGTACCACTGATGAGCGAGGGGGAGGGTGCGCGGAAGTAGTGCGTGCGCCCAGTGACTGAACGGGTGTTCTCGTCGTGCCACAATGCACCTGTTGGGAGCCCTAGCAGCTAGCGTTTGCTTCTCCCCGTCTGCGACCCAGAACTCGACGATCGCAGAGGCACAGAGACGCACTCAGACAAGCATGGTAGCTCCTCGAGCAGGTGGTAACCAACCGCGCTCCTCGCATGGCACTAGGGCAAAACGGCGAACCTGCTCCCCCCCCATTTCTGCTATAACTCCGCCTGACTTCGGTTCTACCGTCTGCTCTACCTTCCAACCCAGTCTCACCGAAATAAACCTCACTGAGCACCGGTTATCCTACTGGTAAGTCACCCTGTTCAGTGCTGGCATCCTCAACGGGTTAAAAAGTTGAAGTGGATGAAACAGGCAGAAACGTACTCGCTTCAGCGCGAGATCTTCCAATCCAACTTCAGAAACAGGCAGATTCCGTAGCACCGAGTAGTCTGCTGACGAGGGGCGATCTGATACATTGACAGAATAATCTCTGGTTGAATGCTAATACATAGCTCGAAAACACCAACACAAGTAATAGTGTACGACATGTTGGGCGGGATAGAGCTGGGAGCTCTGGCAACTTTAAAGAAGATCTCCCACTAGACTTTCAGGATAGTTGCAGCTGACTAGTTTACAAGAGAGTCCTGATACCATACTGACTTTCCTTTGAAACTGGAAAAAAATTACAAATGAAATGGTATTAACTGTTTGTATTGATTTTGGAGGCCTGGATGATCTCTGATGTATTTACTAGAAAAAAGAGTCATAAATATGTTTAATTTACATCTACTATTCCAACCAGAGCAATGAGAATCACGTGCCTACTTGACAAGTTTACATATCTCACTCCAGGAAGTTCAATACAGGCCTATGGCATACTGACGATCGGTTGGGGCCTTGAAACGGTTATGTGCGGCTGGTGTGCTAGTGCCTTGCTGAGCTTTTTAGAGATATTCAGTTCGTAGGAAGTAGTTATTCTGTGCACAAAAGATGAGCGTATCAGAAGTTTGAACAAGTTCCCATGTCTGGGGTAATGTTGAGTATTTATGAAGCCTAAGCCCGCCTCATCTTGCAAAATAAGTGCACCTAACATTTTCTAATCCTCTAAGAGACTTTTCATGGGGATGTGAAAAGAAATCTGCAATAGCTTTCGGAGAAAATACCAAAGAGCTCATATGAAAACATCAGGAAGAAGCTGTTATGCATAGGGTGCTCCAAAACATGACCTTTTCGACTTCCCGATCGTTCTACACACGACATCGCAAGAAGACTAACTTTTATACCAAAAACATGTATACAAATGATTTTTTTTTGCGTTTTTTTCTAGAGCCGACTTACATACACACTGAAACCCGCCGGATAAGCACACAAATTACGTCGTGTCTTTTTAAACTTTCACTGGTAAAGGTGACGGGATTAGTCTTCAATCGAAGGTTAATATTTCATGCTGTATTAAGTACACTGATAGAGGTTTTTGGCGGACTTGAATAATTCATTTGGCCCAGTTAGGAAAAGCATGGCGGCCGGCAAGGACTAAGGAGCAATACTATGTGCCTAAACTATCGGCTGCTATGGCTGCCAGAACCTCTGCCAAGGCCCTAGGCAGAGCGGGACAGATGAGTTCCCTTAGCGATCGGGGGAAAGTTCATCAAACAAGACTGATATTCTAAAATATCAGTCTTATTCTCAAACTACTGAAAACTAACTAACTAGTGGAAGACAGTACTCACCGACATATCCAGAGCCTGTTCTCCACTCGTGGAGAGTTGCCTCTCGACTAGGGGGTTGAGTGCAGCCGCAGCAAAGACCTGGTTCAGCAGTTTACCCGCCACCAGACCGTCGGCGACGCTCGGTGTCACTGCAGACGAGGTGGCGTTGGTGGTGGTAGTGGTGTTCCCAGTGCCAGCGTCCATCATCGGTGCGGCCAGATACTGCAGCGTTAG